GAATATCACCTACTTTTGAACAATGAACCTTTACAAACACGAATACAGTCTTTAAGTTAGTTTACACACATACTCAAACTGCATTCTTTTGTCATAAATGCTTCAAAGAAATTATTTAGAAGATTTATGTAAATATGTGGTAACCATGGATACATTATAAATGAATTTTACACGAAAAATTTCGGTATTCAGCAATGCTAAGTATAGCACGAATATACTCAATCACCAAAAGTTAAGAAACAATAAAAATGTTTTATTCATATGAAAGGTAATATCCAAAAATAATTTTCATTCAAATTCAGAATTGAGATTATGTACCTCGTTGAATACCAGAAAGTCTAAATTAACCCTAAATGTAGCTCGTTCTTTGCAATTACAATGAAGCGCATTGAAGTGGTAAAATTTTCCATTTGGATGAAACGTTCTGAGTCATGTTTTGAACGTCAATTATAACATAACGACACGCCCATTTCTTTAGAAACGAGAAAGAAATACATGTATTCGTCGTAATGTTTTAGGACACCCTTCTTTCCGCGACCAGCCACATGAGTTACGCTGAAATGACGATTTTTAAATAAGAAAGAGCTATATAGAGAGTTCCCGCTTATGTAAAACACGCATTGCAAAGAATTTGTACATAATTATGATTTTATCATGTTCATAGGAGTTAGCATAACACATGTATCAGTCGAACACGTGCTTACTCGGTGTTTATGTAGACCGTCAATTTGATTGGATATTATATTTACGGAATGCCTGTTCTACAGGTATTCGATTGAATCATTTGACCGATTTTTCCTTTCTAAAGAAATGGGCGTGTCTAAAGATAGCTCAAACAGAAAATTTTTCCACTTCAATGCGCTTCATTGTATTTATAGAAGAAAGTTCAAGATGATTTATAGACTTAAAAAAAAGAGCATACGAACACTGGGTTTGAGAAAGCCCGGCCCTTAAATGTAATGTTTTCTTTACATGTACAAACTTAATGGAAAGAAATATTTAAGTTAGACCAAATTTTTGATGTAAAAAGTATTTCAACAAGGACTCGACAAAATACCTAAAAGTTCATGTTAAGAGTTGGATCTAAAGTAGCATTTGGCATTAACTTCATTTCATTGCCAGAACTGTCGTTTGTGAAAGAGAAATCACTTTGACAATAAAAATAACATTAAATAAGTAGGTTTTTTTCCCGCAAAAAATGTGAAAAATACAAAGAAAAAAAAATACCCTTACCAAAATATTCACCTTCTGGCAACATCTTCTGGCATTATTGCCGCAATATTGCAGCAACATTCTGGCAATACATTGTAGCAATATTGCGGCAATATCGTTTTTCGTATGTAAAGAACAAAGTACGGTATTAGCAGTAATTCGCCGCCAAAAATACGATACGATTTGCGGCAATATTGCCAGAAAAGTGTTGCGGCAATATTGCAACAATATTGTAGCAACATTCTGGCAATATTGCTGCAATATTGCCGCAATATCGTTTTTCGTATGTAAATTGGATTTGCGGCAATATTGCCAGAAAAGTGTTGCGGCAATGTTGCTGCAAAGCAATTGCAGTACATGTATTATTTCAGGTTGTGCTGCAGAAATATTGGGGCAACACTACAGTACTACATAACTAAGTTGGTAATTAATAGAAATAATGATCTATCAATCCAACAATTAACAAACTGTGCTGAGGAATATAACAAACAATAGCAAGCCACAGGGTCAATAAGAATTGGCTACTTCTGCTATTCTTCGAACAGATAGAAAATTATGTTGATCATCGTAATGAAAATCAAGATATGTTTGGGAAAGTCACTATGCACCTGGTGGCAATAAAGTTTGAAAAAGCTATTTATAGCATATGGGTCACAGTCAAGGTCACAAGGTCATTGATCTTGGTGTCATTTGAAAGATCTTTATTACTGGAGTATGCATACTAAATATGAAGTCTCTATCTCTGATAGTTCAAAATTTATGGCAGAGGATGAAAATGGCTATTTTAGCATAATTGGGTCACAGTAAAGGTCAAATTGTCATTGACCTTGGTTTTATTTGAAAGAGCTTAATTAGTGAAGGGTGCATACCAAATATGAGTTCTCTATCTTTTATGGCTCAAAAGTTATGTCCAAGGTTCAAAAAATCTATTTTAAGCATATGGGTTACAGCCAAGGTCACAAAGTCATTCACCTTCACGTGTCTTTTGAAAAAGCTTAATTAGTGAATTATGCATAATAAATAAAAAGGCTATATCTTTCATGATTTTAAAGTGATGGTGAATATTCGAAAAAGCTATTTTTAGCATATAAGTCACAGTCAAGGTCACAAGGTCATTGACCTTAATGTCATTTGAAAGAACTTAATTAGTGGAGTATGCATACCAAATATGAAATCTTTATCTCTCATTGGTTTAAAAGTTAAGTTGAAGGTTATAGTTTACAAACAAACAGACAGGACATGTACAACAACAATATGCGCCCCCGATCTATCGAGGCGGGTGCATAAAAAATGTTTATAGAAACATTATTAATATGCCACTGTGAAAATGTCCAGCAACTTTGCATTAATTTTCAAATAACATGCTTTAATTCATCTTTTCCTGCTGCTCTAGGATATATAGACATACAAGTCTAGTATGCATGCATCACAAGCAGTAGTTAAAACACATATAATTTTTCCAATTTTATCTCCATAGAATCATTCATCTCAAAAAGAATATACTGGATTTGACTCACCAAGTCTGATGATATGGAAATGGAATAGACATTACTATAATTCTGCTGAAATTCTTTTTTCTAGTCATTCCACATTATGCAGTCTTACTATTCATCTTGTCTAATCCCACTGTACACAATTAACAACTGTAATGAACTTAATACAAGTCAGTAATGAAGCAAAACATGCTTGCCTTTGAATTCCCTCCACTTTTTTTAAAAAGAGGAAGTAAATAACTGAGCATACTCAACAAATGGCTCATGGGTACTGTAAACCAACTTTTATTCGCGACGACTTTATTTCGCGATTTCCCGGGGATAAACTAGTTCGCGGCGATTAATTTTCTCGATCAAGCCTATTTTGGATCTGTTGTGAAAAGGAAAATAGACTGTAAGGACCGCTTCGCGGCGAGAAATATTCGCGATGACGGGGCTCTCGCGAACATCGCGAAAATTTATCGCACGCGAATAAAAGTTGGTTTACAGTAATCCTAGATGTTGTCAGAAAGTTTTTTTGTGGCAGTATTGCCAGAATGTCACCGGAAGTTGTTGCAGCTAGCGGTGATATTTAATTTTTTCTGGCAGTATTGCCAGAATGTCACCAGAAGTTGTTGCAGCTAGCGGTGATATTTCACTAACCCAAAAATTAAGCTTGTTTCTGGTGACAAAAATGTGTTACTGCAATGTTGCCGCAATATAGCAGCAATATAGACCCTTTTCCTATGGCATATTTTGCCTAGGAGTTATTCCCCTTAGTCGCCATATTGTAGGGCAACAATCCCAGATCCCTTCATTATTCAACCAAGTTTGATTTGTTATACTGGTTACTGAGGTAAAGATAACACTATTTTTCTTATGAATATACGTTTGTTAAAACCTCTATAAATTCATAATTTTAAGATTGTAAACATTTTCCCCCATATGTTTCTTGCATGCATGTTTAAAATTGGTTGCTCAAAGAGGTAAATTCATCACTTTGCCCTACAAGATGGCGGCTAAGGGGAATAACTCCTAGGGAAAATGTGACATAGGAAAAGGGTCTATTGCAGCAATAATTTTATTTTGGTAAGGGTAATATTACGAGGGGTGATCAAAAAGTTCGAATTCACAAACTATCTCTATATCTACAAAACCACAATTCAGATTAGAATGAAATTCGGTACACACATAACCATACACAAGGTCTATAAATAGCATATGCTGAATAAAGTTTCTCTCCTTGTTTGTGACGTCACAATGTGAAAATGACGTCACTATTTAGGTCACTTGTGACGAAAAATGGTTGTCTCAGTCGAACTCGTTCTGAACAAACGACTGTACAATTTATTGTAATATCTTAGAAATCCCTCTACAGTATCATATAATAATTTGTACACAGTTTATTGAGATAAATGAGTTCCTATAAATTCAATTAATGATTGGATTATAATAATCGTTTTAGTGAAGGAAGGCTGATGGTTAAAAATGATACTTGTCATCTTGCCCAGTGAAAGCAAGTTTGAAAAGATATGTATTTTTAATTAAGCAATTTGCTATCAAAGACCTACAATTAGCGCTTTGAAAAATAGTTAAATATTTGAACAATGATATAAGTATTAAATACCTAAGGTATCGTTTACTTTATAAGATTTGAAACATATTAGATATGATAAAAAGGATGCACCCATTCGCTATCCACCTTAAATAAAGGTCTCTCCTGAAACAGAAGATTTGTGTTTTAATGGTCGCCATGCTTATTTTTGGAAAGGATGTTATTATCCACCCATTCTGTTGCCGAGATATGACCATTTCTGACAAATTAACTGTTCTTGTCATAAAAATTAACTCACATGGAAAGAAATATAAAACTCGGAAAAATCTTCAAACTTTTGTGACAGAACGCTACGGAGGGGGTCACGTGACTGCCAATATCACGTGATTCGCGCATGCGCAGAACGGTGGTTGATGTGCATTAAAATCGGGAAGGATTAATTTAAAATATAATCAACATTAAAACCAAATATTATTTCTTGTATGGAAGTTTTTCAATTAGTTTGCGAACTTTTTGATCACCCCTCGTATATAATTTCAGATACTCAGATTTCAGATAAGTTTATCAAAGAAAGGATATTCTTCAAAGAAGAAATAAAATGTATAAAATGAGAATAATAAAAAAAAAATTATTAAAATATAATGTATTTAAAAGAATAACAAGACAATGTCGTAATCTAATTACAAAAGAAAGCTCCTAAGTCTTATCTTGTTCTCTGGTACCTCCTGTTAAGACGGCCGTTTTATCTTCCATTATACCTGAGACTGAAAGGGCTAAACATGCCGAAGTCTGTTTACTTCCCCATTGTGTTGGTAAGTCTGCAGAAAGTACACGTGTTAAAAATAGTATTTCAACTATTAAGAAAGTGTTCATCTGCATGAGAAAATATTTTTGTCATGCAGGTTATGTTTATTTGAATCCCTGACTCTATTATCTGTATATATATATATATATATATATATAAACGTGAAATTCAACATGACAGAATACATTTTAAACTCACTGGCAATGATAGACCTTTTAGCCTAACTCGCTCTTTAAATCACTCGGCAAAATTATTTATATTACTAGCATTATAAATATCATCTAGGATTCATTTGGAAGCAAAAAATGTCAAAGGTTTACAGAAAGATCACTGGGTTATTTGATAATCCATGATGATTCATAAAATAATGAAAATCTGCAGCTGGTTCTATTTTATTGAGGTCAGGGTTAACAATGATAATAATGATAAAAATCATAACTAGAGGTACTGTGAGCAATGAGCTCACTAAATGATACCCCCCGCTTCCCATAATGTCGATGTGTTGCTTTATATTGTTTTACGGTAATGTGTAAAAAGGAATAACTCGTCCTATGAAATGTTATCCAGAAGCTTCTATTATGTGACGTCATAGGTAAACAAAAAATGGCAATGTCCATGTTTTGCTCTGGGAAACCTGAAATACGTGTCGAATAAAAAAGTAAAATAGGAGGTGCACAATGGCAATATGTAATAAAGATTCTGTGAAAGTTTCATTAAATTTCACTCAGTAGTATAATAGGAGTTGCGGATAAGAGAAAAAGCGTAACAGACGGACGGACGGACGTACAGACGGACGGACGGACGGGACGGACGGACGGAAATCCCGATCACTATATACCCTCCCGCTTTTCAAGCGGGGGGTATAATAACAAGATGTGAAACACTATGCGCCCGGTGAAAACAAAGATAAAAAAAGCTACTGTAATTTTAGAAAATAGGTCACAGTCAAGGTCACAAGGTCAGGGTTAGGGTTCAAAAGTTATGGCGAAGGTTAAAGTTAAAGCTGACAACAGACGTGCAAACGTAAACAGACGGGACATAAACAATATACGCCCCCGGATCTATCGATGCGGGCGCATAAAATGATAAATTCTGAATGCCTTCAGCATTCTGCCTTCGATACATGAATACCTATCACCTGAATGATGAGCACAGAAATCTTGTTAAGTATTCTTTGTTCTTTCTTACTTCTCAGTGCGTTTTCATCCACTGTCTTTTAATAATTGATGGACGGCCACGATCTAAGAAGACATTTGTACCTATACACACAGAACCAGACGAGTCGTCGGGCTATCATTTCCTATATAATAAAGTGAGTGGCATTCAATACATTATAGGAGGCTATAGTTAGTTTCTTGCTCACCATGTGAACACACCCATAACACAATCCAATACCCAGAAATCCTGTTTTCGTGTTGTCATTTATTTCAAGGAGCATATATATTATATCTTAAATGTGATAAAAATAAATCTAAAATGAAGAAAAAACAAATAACTAAACAAGCAAGCAAATTTAGACAAAAAATAAACAAGCGAACAAACAAAACTTTAATAAAGATAAACAAAGTAAGACAAGTTAAGTATGATACGATAGCGAACAGCAATGTATGTGGAAGGTTATTGTTCCAGCATTTTATCAGCATGAAGTCGGGAGGGACCCACCATACAAGCATAACCTGCTGGCTGTACAACACGACTGCTGAGGAAGTACAACTGGTCCACACACCCGGCGGGATTAAGCTGGTCGAGGTATAAAAGCAACAGATAACTATTTATTTCTTTATACGCCCATTTTTGAGACAGATTTTTTTTTATATCAAATCCTTTCCTAAAAAAATATTTTAAACAGTTTGAGGTTTTAAAACTGACCTATGTGTGAAAATGGTACAGATCTTAGGAAATTCAAAATACCCGGTACGTTCAAATGTCAAGAACCTCCACAAGACCACAAACTAAGAAGAGACATAAGTTAAAAT